GACTCCAGATCATCTGTAGCATGTATATCCTGAACTCTCTCTCTGACATTCCCTCTGTTGCAGCTATTACCTCTTCTAAAGTTGAGTTGACCTGCMTTGCTTGTGGTCCTTTCTTTCCTTGTCTTTTCATGCTGCTCACGTTTCTTTCTGCTTGGTGAAACTGTTGTGTTTATGAGGTTTTCCCCCTAATTATTTATATTGCTCTTGTATAGTTGAAAAATCTCCCTTGCAGGGCGGGCAGTGGCTGTGTTCCTCCTCTAATTGGGGTGATCTGTCTACCGTGCTGGTGGGCCGCTAGGCCTGCTCTGCTGGTTGTTCGAAGGTCTGCCCACCCTGCGGGTGTGGGTGGCGGCTCTGCTCTGCCCCCACTCCAATTGTGGCAATGTAACTACCACCCCCTCGGGTTGTTGGGCCTGATCCGGATGCGGGTGGCTGCTCTGCTCTGCCCCTACTCCAATTGGAATGACGTGTCTACCATGCTGGCAGGCCTCTAGGCCTGTTCCGCTGGTGGGTCTCAGGTCTGCCTGACTCTGGCAGTAGGGGGAGTTGGGGGTTGAGAGTCCTTTGGTCCTTGCGGTCACGTCCACGAAGAGATTTTGAAGTTTCCCGGTTCTTCGCCAGGTGGGCGGGGCTGTTAGCAGAGCCCGGAGGGCATGGCCATGTACTGGGCCATGCGGAGAACCTTCTAGCTGAGTCGGGCCACTGGGAGCCGCCTAAAGAGCGGGGCAGCTGTGTCTGCGTGGCTAAGATCCGGGCGGGTGGTTTGGCTGTTCGCAGAGCGAGAGCAGGGCCTCCTGGGAGAGCCGGGATGGCGGGGGCGTCTGCTGGTTTGGGCTGCCACTCCACTCCGGGCAGCCGCCGCTTTCAGAAGCTGCTGGTGGCTGCGGGTTGGACCTCTGCGCCCGCGGGGGGGCCACCTGTAGAGCCGGGTAGCTGTAGCCGTGTGGTTAGGAACCGGGCAGGTGAGGCGGCTGTTCCCAGAGCGAGCGCTAGGCCTCCCAGGGGAGCCTGGATGGCGGAGGCCGACTACCGGTTCGGGCGGGGCGGGTCAAGCCGCTCCGGGTGCCGGCCGCTTGCAAAAGCGGCTGCTGGCTGCAGGACTTGACTTCTGCACCCGCCGCGGGGCCACCTGTAGAGCCGGGTAGCTGTGGCCGCGTCGTTAGGAACCGGGCAGGTGAGGCGGCTGCTCGCAGAGCGAGAGCTAGGCCTCCCGGGGGAGCTGCTTGCCGGAGCGGATGATGGCTGTGGGATTAGACCTCTGTGCCCGCGTGGCCCTCCAAGATCCACTTTTCTGGGACAAACTGTCACTTCCAATAAACCTACCAGTTCACGGCAGTTCTCCTCTTAAGGGAATTATGCTAGAAGTTCCTCCGTAGGTAGGCTGCAGCTGTTCCGTTGGGTCTTTCTTATCCCGTTAAAGTGGAGGCGTTGGAATCGCTGCTTCCTCGCTGGCCGCCATCCACTGTTTCTTTTTAAATACAAGTGGGCAATCACAATATTGCTTGTTCACAGCTAAAAATGATAACAGCCCTTAGTAAGTTCTCTACATTTCCTGTATCCAGTCAGGATGTTTTATTTTCTCAAAATCCATGTGTAGGCATTTCTCTCTTTACTGTCCTCTTTACCCCTATGACCATTGACCTCCTTTTGGCTCTCCCCTCACTTAAAACTTCTGTCAGCTGTGTCCTGGGGTTTGGGGGTGTTGGGAGTGCTTACCTAGCATGTGTGGTTCCATCCCCAGCACTTCAATGTCCAGACTGTCTCCTTCCCTCTGGCATCACTTTCTTAATCCAATGTTTCTGAGCAAGCAGAATGTGTTAAATTCAAATCTTTTATTATATTCCACTGCTAAAACCATGTTAGTGGCTCACCATATCTGCACAGTCAAGAATCAACAGACTTTTCTTAAAATGGCCTGAGAGTAAGATTTAGGTTTTGTGGGCCAGACAGTCTCTGCCCCAAGTCAGCTCTGCCCTGGTGGTGGCAAAGTAGCTACAAACCCTCCATAAATGATTGTACCTGTCTGTGTTCTAATAAAACGTGATTAACAAAAGTGGGTGATAGTCTGATCTGGCCTTCGTGCCACAGTGTTCTAACTCTATACAAGATGAATTTTGAATCTCATGAGCAAGACCATAAGGACACTGCAGTTTCTGACCCCTTCTTCCTTTGTGTATCTACCTAATCCATCACTTTCTGTGCCACTTTTCCTCCTTATCTTCTCCACAGACGTGACTTTGTGGTTTCACAGTTGATTTGCAGCAGCCACATCATGGATCTGCCAGCTTCTCTGGTTATCAATATTCATTTTTGTCTGGTACATTCCTTGCTATTAGAGTGTACATTTTTTGAAAGCAGAAAGTGTGACAGCTTTATATTCTCTGCAGCCATATTATGCTCTTACCTAAAAAGGTAAATTAATCTCTTATGAATTTTAAAAAAATATGGTGTAGCTCAATTTATTTTTATTTTGTTTTATATTATTAGAGACAAATAAAAAGTGGTGTGTTTTGGAAGGTGGCTTCTTGAGTTATTATGAAAATGATAAGTCTACCACACCTAATGGGACCATTAACATCAATGAAGTTATCTGCCTGGCTGTTCACAAGGAAGACTTCTATTTAAATACCGGGTAGGTCTACTATTAAACAGATAGAAGGGAAGAGGTATTTACAGACAATTGTCATGCCAGGTCATAAGGATTTTGTTACTTCTGTTCTTTAGTTGTTTTCTGTAACAGGATTTAAGGGTGTCTTAAAGCCTATCTTCTGTCTTAAAGTTCTTTAGAGAATCCCCTTAAAAGTAGTGAGTTAAAATATACTAGCTAGTATGAAAGACTAATATATTTGGAGATAATCTTAAGTAAATTTATGGCATTCTATTAATGATCATTGTGGTACTTCAACTTTTATGATTTATGCATTACTTTATATAGTGAACTAATGGCAATATTTATGTTATTATTTTAATGAGTATTATGGTTAAATATGAGAAAAATGAATATTTGGCGATTATTTGCTTGCCTTAAACACAATACAAATTGCATTAAATGGCATATTCAAAGCTAAATTTCTTTAAGCTCTACTTTGGCATTTCAAGGTCTGACAAAGTTACAGTTAAAGATTAAGTACTATTTATGTGATATGTTTGAGTCATAATAGTTTAAGTGAATCTTTGAGGACTTTTAGAAATAGACTAAGATCTTTAATTTGAAAGTTTCTGTTTTGTAATGTAATTACTGATAATATATAAATATTAAATCTAAATAAATCAATGTTATAGGAGCATAATACCTTAATAATTTTTTATGAGAAAAAACTTGCAAATGTATGTTATTTACATGAAATTTTCTGGTCTATGTTGTCATTAATATGTAATGATCAATATGTGCTGGTTGAAATGACTAGAGCATTTTTGTAAACCTAAGTTGATTTTGATGTTAGCAAAACTGATTACTGATTTTTTTTTGTTCTGTTGTGCTTATATTCTAAATGAATATTAAATTTAACGTGGCTTACCATGGAATGTTCCAATAAGTGTACTCTACCTTAATAAATAACAAATCAGATACAATTTAAAAGAATTGATATTATGTCCACATATTAAAAACAAGATATTTCTGATAAGATGTTATTGGTACAAGTATTTTATATATATGCAATGATATGGGGTTACAAAATAATTGTTACAGCCAGACTCTGAATTGCCTTAAAGAGTCTGTTGTAGAATCTGAACTCAGTGCTGTAAATAAAGGCATTAGGTAGTTTTGCACATTTGTATTTTAAAAGAGAGCTGATAGAGTGGTAAGAAAAAGACTATAGGAAGAAAGATCATAATTGCCAAGAGTTTAACAAGAAGAGTGAATGGAAGACAGAAATCATCTTACAGTTAAACTGATGGGAATGGGTTGATGTTAAGGGAAAGAATGAGTTAGATTTTAAGGGTTTGAGCTTGCTATTGAGGTCAATGGAGATGGCTTTATGTTGGGACATGGAGACGATACAACAGGTTTGGGGCAAAAGAGGAGAAGAAGGAAGATGACTTCTATATAGGATAGTAAGCCTTTCAGTACATACTTTAGCAAGTTCTAGGAAGGATTTGGAGCTGTCAGTGAAGGACTCAAGAAAGGATTTAGGACATGGAATGTTACTATAATATTATCATCAAAAGATGAATTGTTGGTGTTAGATGAGATGCTGTTGGGCAATGTTTGTTTTGAACATTAGGTTGAAGTAAATTAGGAAAGAGTAGTCTTGGAGGGAAACTGAGACTAAGAAAGGCCTCCATCATGTTTGTCACCTGAACTTAACATAGTCGTGCTGTTGAGTGATTGATCAGAATCATATTCCTTTTGTCTGATCCCATGTGTTGCATTTAGCTCATTTGAATAAAATACATACCATCAACAGAATAATATGATATATAAGCAAGTTGATTTCTCAGCACTATTCCACTTTAAAAAGTTATCTAATTAAAAACTTGACATTTGTGTTATTTATTTTCATAGGAATCGAACATAACTGGTATCTTTTTATCCCTGCTTGTTCTAGGCCTATATTTATCTTTGAGATCTACTTGCCCTCAGAACGTGTGTTTTTATTTGGAGCTGAAACATCTCAAGCTCAAAGAAAATGGACAGAGACCATAGCCAAGGTAATGAAGTATTATATTCCCTCAGAAAACATTCTTCACTTGGAGTCTGTAGTTGAGCTTTAGGGGTCTGTGAAAATTTTATATAAGTTACTGGGAAGAAGGGCCATACCTAGTAAGGTTTTCAAAGATTGTAGTCTAAAGAGGTTAAAAAACTACCTTCTTAGCTCCTGAAACAGGTAACTAATATAGGATCTTGGAGAAATCATTCTTACAAGCTAAGTCCAAGTCCATGATTAAAAAAAAAAAAAAAAAAGGTAGTTTTAATATTGTAAAGTCATTTTAGTGTGTCTTTTTTATAGGTAGATTTTTATTCATGATGTATGCAAAAGGGAGAGGAACAAATTCAGTAAAAGATAGAAGTGGGGAAAAACATGGAAGGTTGACATTTTAAAAAATGCCACAAATCAACCAAGAGAATGTCTTCCTGTTTCAATAGCAAAAAAAAAAAAAAAAAGCTTAAGATGCTTTTTGAAAATGCATTTTAGCTGTTCGTTTTTGAGACTGATAGCAAGTTTAAGTAATTGTTTTGAATTTTTGGTTGCTTATGAATCTTAAAAAGTTAAAATAATTTTCCAACTCCTCTCAACTGTAGATAGGGAATTTCCAATTTTCACTGTCTTTATTACTTTTCTGTATTTGTTTTAACAGCATTTTGTTCCCTTTGTTGCTGAAAACTTAACAGAAGCCGACTATGATTTGATTGGTCAACTCTTCTACAAAGACTGCCATGCCCTGGATCAGTGGAGGAAAGGCTGGTTTGCTATGGACAAATCTAGTTTACGTTTTTGCCTCCAAATGCAAGAAGCTCAGGAAGATAGAATGCACTTAAGAAGACTGCAAGAGCTAAGTAAGATGTGTGTTTCTTCCCCCTTATCTTTCAAACACAATTCTTTATCGCATGCAATGACAGCAGCTTTATATCAAGTTGTAATAGCTTACTCCCAACTTAGAACTAAGTAGTATTAATAATTGTGTCTTTGTGGGTATTTTGTGTAACATTTAAAACAATGTGTGCATGCTTTTCTCTTTTCCCTCCAGCAATCAGCACAATGGTTCAAAATGGGGAAAAATTGGATGTCTTACTCCTGGTAGAAAAAGGGAGGTAAGTGCTCTTTTTGCTTTTTCTCTTAATCTCAAAAATTCTGGGAAGTGGAATATTATAGTTATCCTCTTGGGGAGAGACCATTCTTTTAAAACTTTTTGGGATAGTTTCTGAATCATACATGTAAAATATATATGAAGCTTCTTTATAGAGTACACCTAGGAAGGTTACATATTTTTTCATTTTTTATGACAAACTCATTATGATCAACTATTGTAGTTTTCCATAGACCTAGATTACTCTGGGTCATTTACACTTAAGTATTTGGAAAGTAGTTTGGTAATCATAAATATGTTTTTAGTATAGGTATATGAAAATATAATATCTTGTAGGTCAGGCAAAGGTAAAACATGATTTCTTGAATTTCTGCAGTTATTCATGAACTATTAATTAAGTAACTACTGTGCTTTAGGACTATTATAGATATCGGTGGGAGGGATACAGTGATGAACAAACAGGCAAGTTCCCCACCTTCATAAGACGTGTACATTGGGAGGGAGTAGCAGTGTGAGCAGATTCATCTTCAAAAAATTGTTATTATGTTTATCAGTTGTAAATCTTATGAAGAAAAATAAAGGCTTCTCACTCTCAAGGAAGCCAAATGTATAATCCTTGCTTTGCTAAATAAATCTCTGCTCCCTCTGCTCCAGGTTGTTTTCTTTCTTTCTTTTTTCTTTTTTTTTTTTTTTTTTTTTGAGGCAAGGTTAAGAGTCTGCTGGAGCCGTAGCTAGGGTGACAAGAGAAGGTGGCTTTGATGAGACACCTGAATAAAGTGAAGAAACAAATCATGCAGCAGTCCAGACACTGTTCCAGGCAGAGGGTGAAGAATATTTGAAGATCTTAAGAGAGTGTTGTGCTAGGCATGACCACGGTCTGCCAAGAAGCTGGTCTAACTGGCAAGGTTCAGGTTTAGATATGTGAGAGAATGGGAAGAAACAATTTCAGAGATATCCCCTGGCAAGGTGATACTGGACTGTAAGGTCATGTGTGAAGATTTGAATTTTGTTTTAAGTATATGGGAAGCTGCTTATTCTGAGAGCCAGGAATGGAATGTCTCATTTATGTTTATAAGTACTACTCTATTTGACTCTAGAAGAATGAGACTTTGTGACAAGTTAGGATGTTGCTGCAGAGGCCAGGCAAAGGATGGTATTGAGGAGCTATTGGATGTATTATTATGAAAGAAGAGGTGTTGGAACCTGGGGCTATGTTAGATCAGTGTAAGAGTCCCAAGTTTTCTGCATGAGCATTTGCATGAATGAAGGTGCTTATTTTTTTGAGATAATGAAGACTTGAAAAATGGAGGTAGGATATTAGTAAGTTTGGGGTAGGTTTTTTTTTTTTTTTTTTTTAGTTTTGTGTCATTTGCATTAAAATCCTTTAATTATACTGATTTGGAAGGTTTAGCTCTATAATTATGCCAGATAATCTGTAAAATCTTCATAATAATAATAATAATTATTATAATAATATAAGATAGAGCTAAATCAGCTTTCCATCTGTTGATTTTTCTTGCTGGACAAGAATAATGACTTCCAGCAGTTATTGGAGTCTATTTTCCTTCAACTTCATGGCAAGACATCAGTGGCTTTGGGCAGCAGGCTTGTTGTGGTTAGATAGTTATGTCAGAATGAGGATTTTTTTTTATACTTATAGGTATAATTAAGATTTTGCATTTTCTCTTATTTTTTTTCTAAGATTATGGTGGTTAATGACATTTTAGATTCTCCTATTTGGATACCAGATTATGATTTCATGGTACTGTCACAGTACTTTTAATTATATGTTCAGAAATAAAGAAGTCGTATTATGTGCAGGTAGTATTGATGCTTGACTCCTGCTACTTCTGTGGCAAGAAAAAGGAAAAAAAGATCAACAATAAGGACTTGGTATCCAAGCTCACAGAGCTTATGTTCTTAAATAAATAGACAAGTATCAACATGACAGTTGAATTAGTTGTACTTATTATCACTTATTACTTATCAGGTTACATAACCAAGGCACTTTCTACTGTATTTAGTCTGTGAAGAATTTGGCTGGTGGTAAACAGGTTTCTATTAAAATGCTAGCAGATCTGAATCAGAATTATTCAATTTGATACCTTTTGTTTAGTACTTAATGTATGCTGTGCATTCCCTTGGGAATGAAAGATATGTAATCCAGAAGACTTAATATTTTGTTATTTTGTGTATATTGCCCTTTTACTTGGACTGCAGGAGTCAGAGAAGGTGAAATTCATTTGTAAAGGTTAAGTTTTTGAGTTCAAGGAATAGTGGAAAACCAATGGAACTCCCAAATAGTGGTCACAGTTGCTTCATCATGTTTGTGATACTTTAGAAGTTTATTTTATCTACAAGTTATGTTGAAAGCTTTCTTATCAAAAAGAAGAATAAGGAATATTCCAGGATGAGAGCAAAAGAAATATGGGGATAAAGGTATAATCATGCCATTTTCCCTAAATCTCTTTGAATAGCTACCATGTAATACCCAGCATTTAAAAGCAAGTATATTGATCACATGCTTATAACTCAGTTCCAATTTCTTTTTTATTTTCTCTAAATCATAATAATATCATAATAACAGTGATAGAATGGTAATATATTAAACTTACTATGTGCCAGGCAATTTGAAATATTTAAGCAGCCTTCCAGTGCCTACACAGTATTGACAACAACCCATTTTGAAATCAAAATAGATTCAATTTGCAACCTGAAGTTTTTTGTTTGTTGGTGGATTGGTTTATGTTAAACCAAGTATTAGATATTAATTTAATAATACTTTTGTACAGGTCAGTCTCAGGAATCAAATCAACACATGTGTCAAAAGTATGGATATAAAATAATAAGTTATCAGAATTTAAAAATCTCAACTTTATCAGAAAATAGAATGTTTACTATGACACTTAAGCTACTTTATTAGAAAAATTTATTCATACACTTTCAAAAATGTATACATGTACTTTATTTCCATCTACTAAAGATGGAGTAGAGTGAAAAGAGGTCATCAGTGTGAATAAAAGTAACCAAGTTGATAGATGGTGATTGCACTAGGTTATGAATCCCAACAGTATAAAAGCATGTGGCTGGGCCAACATATGGCACCTCGTGTGGTACAGCGTAGGGTTACATGTCTGTCTATTTATTTATATGCACATAGACACATGTATTAAGTAATTGTGTATATAGTGGAAAAGGAACAGATTCCAGATATCCTGAGAGATGATGATTTTGATTTTAGACATATTGAACATTAGGTTCTTGCAAGATGTCTAGGGAGAAATTGCTAGGAGGAAGTTATTTTTAATAATTTGAGAAGTAAATGGGGTACAGATACAGATTTTGGAATTACCAGTACATAGAAGGAAGAAGGTGGAGTCCCTTAAGATTCTACATAGAATAACAAGGGAAATAATGTGCAGGAGCATCCATGAATACAGATCATTTGGGGGTGGGAGCTGTTGTCAGGGAAGAGTAGCTAGCCTGGGGGAAGGAATGGCTTGTTTTCTCAGTGAGGCAAGAAACCAAGAGAGGGTGGTATCACAAAGCCCAAGGACAGAGTGCAGCCATGAATCCTTTAACAACTGGCAAGTGTTTTGAAAATGCATCTGTAAGTGATTTCATCCTTGATGAAGATCATAGAGTGTGCTCATCCAAACCGCATACACACATACATATGAATCACTGTGTTATCTATACAGAACATACCTATGTGACACACACACACACACACACACACACACACACACACGAAAGCCAGTTGCTCCTAGGTTTATACTAAGCAAAACAACATGAGAGTAAATCAAGCAAAAGAGAAAATAACGCAATCAAGAGATGTAATAAATGCAAAGTATATGAGTCTGCTGCTGGTGTAGCACAGCATACTTTTTGTTTTAAAATAAACTTTTTTCAAATAAGCAAAATGAATACACTCTAAAATAATGATTAGTATAGTAAATACATGAACTAGAGACAAGCTCATATATAAATCATCACGTCTATGACATACAGGCACTTAATTATATGTCTTTCTATAAGTGGCAGCACTGTAGGTTTGTTTGCAGTGGTCTCAGCACAAACTCTTGAGGAATGTGGTGCAATTGGATGTAATGTTGGCTACAACAATTACAAGATGACAGGAATTTTTTCAGTTCCATTATAATATTATGGAACTAATGTCAAATAAGCAGCCTGTTTTTGTCAGATGTTGTGCAATGAATGACCATATTGCAAGAAAAAAAGAACAGTTAAAAGTGTCAAGTGCTGTCCCCGGGCATGCCTGATGAAGTTAGATACCCCAGGAGTCCACTAAAGAACACATCAGATTACGGTTGGGAACTGACTAAAAACTGAGACAGCTCATGAGGGCTCTTTAAGGTTACCTCAAAGCTCATGTATTAGTGCAGAAGTGTTCAGAAGTGAGATGATTGGATTATCAGAGCTGTGACCTTTTTGGTAGAGTAGTCCTTATTTGAATACATTACTGGATGGTAACTGTAGGTAGGTGGGTATGGCTGAGGAAGTTGATCACTGGAGGGGTGGTATTGTCCCTCTCTCCCCCTGCTCTCTCTGCTTCCTGGTGGTCCTGAACTTAGCAGTGTTCCTCCAGCACGTCCCTCTGCCATGATGTTCTGCCTTTCCTGCCACCAAAAGCAATGGAGTCGAGTCAACCTTGGACTGAAACCATAAACCAAAACAAACTTTTCCACCTTTAGGTCATTCTTATCAGGTATTTTGATCATAGTGACAAAAAGCTGACTAACTTAGATGGTTTGTCAAAGATGTCTGGAGGCTTATGGGATTAGTAAGGTAAGAGATTTGACTCCAAAAGGGAATATGTATACAGTCTGTTTTATAATGGTTTGGAGTTGTGCCAGTTTGGGTGGGAAAGAGACATGGAAAGGGAAAGTCTGAAGATATAAGAGATGACAAGTGGGAGACAAGGTCTTTTCAAAAGTAACAGCATGAAAAGGAGAATTGATATAGTACTGGATGTTGCTAGCT